TATGGACCCAAGAAAAAAATGAAATCCTTGACAATTTCAATCTTTCCTCCATCCATCATGCAGTTGCCTATTTGTCCATTGGAGAGGATTTTTGTTTTCTTGATACTGGGTTGTAATCTGTGTTGAAGATTATAGACTTTGATCTTCAGTAAGTTTTTCCAGTCACATTTATCAAGCAAGATTATGTCATCTGCTTAACACAGTTTGTTAGTAAATCTTCCTCCAGTCATTATGCCACATTCTTCTTCATAAAGTCCAGCTTCTCAAATTATTTGCTCAACACAGATTAAATAGGTATAAATTAAAAATACAATTTGGGCACCTTTCCCGTTTTTAAATCCTTCTGTTCAGACAACTGCTTCTTGGTGTATGTATAGATTTTACATTCCTGTACTTCTTATTGTTAGCCATAATTTGTTAACATCTACACAGTAAAATATACATCTTTCTGGTATTCTCTGCTTTCATACAAGATTCATCTGACATCCGCAGTTATTTACCTTGTGCCTGGAACTCTTCTGAATCCTCCTTGAATTTCTGGCAGTTGCCTGTGAACTGTTCCAGCCTCCCCTCCTCCCCCATAATCTTCAGAAAAATTTTAATTTGATGTGATGTTAAAATCATATTGATGGATAATGTCTCTATTTTGTAAGGTTAATGTTTTTTGGAATGGTCCTTCCTAACAAATCTCTGGTGGCCTAGGGGTAAGAACCTGTGCTGCAGTCCCAAAAGCATGTGATTTGAACCCACCAGCTGCTCCATGGAAGAAAGATGGACAGTCTCCTCCCATACAGCTAATTGCCTTTCAACACCAGCTGGAGAGTCAGCTATGGGTCATTTCCAGTTTAAAGGCACACACAACAATATGCTCAAAGTATGCTTCATCATTCTCATCTTTATGGAACACCCTGGTTACCCTTTCTCCATGAAATACTTGTTTGTTCTTTTGGTAGTCCATGGGATATTCACTGTTTTCCAACATCACAACACAAAGGCTTTGATTTCTTCTAATGGCGTCTTTATTCATTGCCTAACTTTCAGATATATAGCAAGTAAATGAAAAGACCCTGGCTTGTATTTGGTGCACCTTAGTCTTTAAACTGATATCATTACTGCTTGGCACTTTGAAGATTTTTCCAATTGTGATGCATCTTTTAATTTCTTGACTGCAGGTACTAAGGATGTTGATTGTGGATCCAAGCAAGAGGAAATCATTGACAAGTTCAGTGTTTTCTTTATCAATCATGATGTTACCTATTGTCCCAGGAATGAGGATTTTTGTTTTCTTGAAGTTGAGCTGTAATCTGTATTGAAGGCTGTAGTTTTTATCTTCTGTGGCAACTGTTCCAAGTCCTCTTCATTGTAAGGAAGCAAGGTTGTATCATCTGCATAATGCAGCTTGTTGATGAGTCTTTCCTGATCCTGACGCTATGTTCCTCTTCATTAAGTCCAGCATCTTAAATGATTTGTTCACCATACAAGTTGAATACATATGGAGAAAGGACAAATCCCTGACATATACCTCTTTATTTTAAAAGCCTCTTGGTCTAAGTTTCACATGAGCAAAATATAGTATTCTGGGATTCCTATTCTCAGTATTAGCCATAATTTGTTATTACCCTCACAATCACAGCGCTTTGCAGTCTAGTATTCTCTGTTTTCAGCCAACAACCATCTGACATCAGCAGTAATATATCCCTGATGTCATGACTGCTTCTATACAGCTTGACTTTCTAGCAGTTCTCTGTTGATATACTGTTATAGCCATTTTTTTATAATCTTCAGCAAGATTTTACTTGCATGTGATACCAATAGTGCTCTTAAATCATTTCCAAATTCTGTTGGATCATCTTTCTTGGGAATGGGAGCAGATATGTATCTCTTCCAATCAATTGACCAGGTCTTCCCAATTTCCTGCCACAACCTAGTGAGCACATTAGGGCTCTGTGAAACACAGCGGTTTGTATCACATCTATGCCTGGGACCCTATTTTTTTGCTAATGTCTTCAATATGACTTGAATGTCTTCCTTAATTACTTAATTCCTGAAATGGTTCCATGTCAGCCAATTTTTTTTTTTCTGGTACAGTGACTGTTTATTCTCCCTGTCCTTTTATATTTTTTCTCAGTTGTTCAACATTTTGTTTATAGCAACCTTTAGTAGTGTGACTTGAGGCTTGAATTTCTTTTTCAGTTCTTACAGCCTAAGGAATGCCAGGTGAATTTGTCCCTTTTCATTTTCTAATTCTAGATCTTTGCACATTTTGTTGTAATAACTTGTCTTCTTGAGCAGCTCTTTTTCTGCTCATGTCTTTTACTTCAGTTCTACTTCCCTTTGTTTTAGCTTCTTGATACTCTATTTTTAGGGTCCCTTCTGACTTATTTTGGTCTTTTCTTTCTGCCCTTTTCTTTATAATGAGGTCAGAAATATCTACCGTTTTAGACTTGTTAAGACACTTTATTGCCAAATGCCTTTGATGCCAGAAAGAATTTTTTTTTCTCCCCCCAAAGTTCTGGTTTATGAAAGCTCTGTGAATTCTGCAGAAGTGGTAATTTCTGAATTCATTACCCAAGATATTAATTTCATTTCTTTTAAGAAAGCCCATTTACCAAGAAACTGATTTTGCCACCAGACTGAAGTAATAACTTAGAGAAGTAAACAAAATGTAACAGGTGTTAATTCTGAAAGTCCTAGACTAGAATAATAAAGCAACTGATGTGTATACTTAGAAGGTACAAGTGAAGTAATTAATACCATGGAAGATTAAATTGTTGATGAAACATAAGGAAACAATAACATATTTCTGAGGAAGTCTTCAGAGAGAAAATGGTCTTCAGATAGAGTTTTGAAGCAGTGGGATTTTGATAGTGAGTCACCTCATTGCCACTGAGTTGGAACCAACTCACTACTCACCCCCCAATGGATTTTCAGAGGCTATAAATTACAAGGAAGAGATTGCCTAGCTTTCTCCCACAGAGTAGCTTATAGATTCAAACTCCGTGCTGTTGGGTTGACAGAGCAACCCCTTATTGACCACCAGAGCTCCCTGGATAGTGAATATGGTGAGAATCATAGAAGTGTTCTAGACCAAAAAGAATAGCAGGAATAAATGTACAGAGGACTGTTTTCTCAGAGATTAGAAATATGGCTGAGGAGCTTTGGTGCCTTAGTGGTGAGGAATTGCATTGCTCACTAAAGAGCAGAAAATGGGATATGGGGGCACAGGACCATGAGTGTCTCTCTGAAAGGGCCAGAAGGAATGAGAGAAGAGCATAGCCTCTAACCACTCCAGAGCAGAAAGCCGATAAAGAGCCCATAGCCCAGCCCTTTGTTGCCTCTAGAGTCCCAGCAGCAGGAAGAGACTCGTTTATCCATGCTAATTCAATAGAATCTTAATTGTGGTACCGAGAATGGGGTTTATTTGGAAAGTAAGTTGGAGAATGGGGACACGAAGAATATCTCACAGTGAATCCAATTTTTAGCTCAGATGTCCCAAGGCACAGTTCCTCAATTAGACCAAACTCCATTTTCAGGTCAGCAACACCAATTCAGGAGGCTTCTGATTTCCTCAATCATCTAGCCAGGTTTGCCTCAGAACAGTTAAAAGTCAGCCTCTATTTCTTAATTCATCAAGTGCAACAAAAAGTTTTAACTGTGACTCCTCTGGTTATTACTTGCCACAGTTTCTCCATAGCAGTGCTACAGTCTCCACCACCATTATCAGTGTCTCCAGTCTCCCTCAGGTCTTGCTGCATAGTGAGGGAAGCACTCTTTCTCTTACCCTATTTCCACAGATGTTGATAACTTGCTAAACCATGTCTGCAGTTCAAGTAGCTGGAGGCCAGAGGGACCTAAAATAATCTCTAAAAATACCCAACTTTAGGTTAACACTACAGCTAACATCCACTAGCTGCTCCGTGGGAGAAAGATGAGCAGTGTTCCATGAGATTTCCTGCCTCTGAAAACCCACTGTGGGGTCAGCTATAGGTTGGTTCCAATTCCACAGTACACAACAACAGAGCAGAATAAGTAATTCCTTGTTGGTCCAAATAATTTTTTAAAAATATGGCTGAAAATCTAGAAGAATTCTTCTCTATTGTAACTGCTTTTCTGGAGATTAGATCCCCATCAAGATGGATTGGGACAATGACTCCAACAATGGACTCAAGTGTGTCATAGATGATGTGGATAGCACAGGGTTCAAATCTGTTGTTCGTGTGCCACTATGAGTCTTCCTCAGTGGCACATAACAAAAACAGCTCTAGTTTTACACTATTTTTATCCATTCCTGTTGTCTAACAGTTGTTGAGGTACTTGTTGTTGTTGGGTGCTTTTGAGTCGAGTATGACTCATGGCAACCATATGAACAAAAGATCTGAACCCTGTTCTGTCCTGCACCATCCTTACTCTTCCTGACACACAAGAGCCCATTCCAGTAGTCACTGTGTCAGCCCACCTAGTTGAAGGTCTTCCTCTCCTTCACTGACCCTCTACCTTTCCCAGCGTCATATTCTTCTCCAAGGAATAACCCCTCCTGTAACATGCCCAAACATTGCAAAGCCTCATCATTCTTGCCTCTAAAGAGCACTCTGGTGGCACTCTCTCCAAGACATTATCTGTTCGTTCTCTTGGCTGTCTATGAGATGTTCAGTGCTCTTCTCCAACACCACAGCTCAAAGGTGTCAGTTCTTATTCTGTCATCTTTATTCCTTTTTATTCTCTCAGATGTATAGCAAGTGATTGGAAAGACCATGGCCTGAGTCAGACCGAAGCATCTTATTCCTGAAACAGATATCATCACTCCACAATAATTTGGAGGAGTCCCTAACTACACATTTAACCAGTGCACTGCATCTCCTTATTTCCTGACTGCTGGTACTTAGAAGGGAATAATTTTTATATGTTTATTTGTCCCAAATACAATGGTTTCTTTTTATGACCATAAAACTTTTCACATGTTACTAACTGACAACTTAGAATGAATGGGCAATGTTTTTCAGGTTGAAAATATCCTGTTGCATGACCGAGGCCACTATGTCCTATGTGACTTTGGAAGTGCCACCAACAAATTCCAGAATCCACAAACCGAGGGAGTCAATGCAGTAGAAGATGAGATTAAGAAGTAAGCTTTTGTTATTCTTGAATTTTGTCTTTTTGCACATTTCTAGCTTTACTTTCAGCTAGTTGGTGATGTTTTTAAGAGATTGCAATAATTACAGTGGTGTCAATCACATAAACATTTTACTAAATTCTAAATTGCTACATACTATTACTACTGTAAATTTCTTGCATATAAGGAATTCACTTGCTAGAACTTCTGCAGGGTCTAGCCAAATTAATGACAAGTTTATTGAGTATCCCTGGTGGCAAAGTGTGTTTTGTGTTGGACTTCCAATGAAAAATCAATTGTGGGAATCCACCAGCCACCCCCAAGAGAGAAAGATAGGTAGTCATCTACTGTAAAGATTTACCGCCTCAGAAATCCAGTAGAGAATCTCCATGAATCAGAACTGAGTCAGTGACACCATGTTTTGTTTTGGTGGTGCTGTAGTTAAAGCACTCAAGAGTTAGTATTGAGCCCACCAGCCACTTGAGGAAAAGATGTGGCAGTCTGCTTCTGTAACATTGATAGCCTTGGAAATTAGGGGGTTTCTCATCTGTCCTATAAGATTGTTATGATTCAGAGTTGATGAGACAGTAAGACATTTTTATGATTGTTTTGTTTGTTTGTATTTGTCAGGTAATTGAAATCTCTACAAATGTTGAACCACTAACCTCCACAGGAAATAAAGTTTCTATAAAGTCATGAATCCACTGAGGATTTTTCATAGGCAACATTTATAGTCTATAAATAAATAGCCCTGCTCTCTTGGGTCACCCTGGGTGACCAACTTAGGGCAAGAAGTCTTCTGTTGCAAGGCCTGGTGCCTACCTAACCACAGTCTCTTCTGTACTCTAGAGAACTCTGGCAGCTCCAATCAGACACTCAGTGGAACGGAGATGTTCACCTGGAAGATGTAGTTACTCATTGTTTGTGTCAGCTCTATACCTAGAGCAAAGATCAAGGGCTCTCAATCCCATTTGGCCCTCATTCCAACCCCTTCTGCATTCTCTACCCCTTCTGCTGCTTTCAAGAGCATCTAATGTTGGGCCACATTGAAAACGTTCACTATTTCTAGAAACAGATTGTTGTTGTTGTTGTTTAATGCCGTCGAGTCGTAGACGACTCATAGCGACCCTATGGACGAATAGCCTGAGCACTGTTCGTACATAGAGTTTCCGGAGGCAAGCCATTTTGGAAGTGGATGCCGCTCCTGCTTCCAGGTTTGATTTAGTCGGGAAGCTCCAGCCAACAATGTCCACCATGGGTGCCCATTACCACGATTGGCACATCACTGTCACAGGCTTCAGCATCACAGCAACCACGAGTTACCTCTGTACAGCAACGCACAGACCAGTGCTATGCCACCGGTCACTGTGCCCTGCTCTCCTTCCTGCTGGGCCTCCACGGTTCGCTCACGTCCAATCAGACAGCAATATATAGAAAAAACATTTTGTCATTTGACCAAAGAAAAATTGCTGTGTTTGGGTTTCCATATGTTCATAAGATGATGAAGACTGCTATTGGAGGGACACAAGAGTAGTATGGCCAAATGATGACATAAATGGCAGATTTTCATTTTATCTGAACGAATATTTCATAATTCCTTCTGCAGATTTCTCTCAGCAAACTGGATTGTATTAAAATAGGTTCTGTTAAAAAATATTTTTATTGTTCCTAGTTTTTAATTATAATATTAACAAAAGAAAAAAATGTAATCTTTTGATTTTTAGATATACCACACTGTCCTACCGAGCACCAGAAATGGTTAACCTGTACAGCGGCAAAATCATCACTACAAAGGCAGACATTTGGGTAAGTGCCAACTAACCTGTCCACCTCTCAGATAGCAATAGACTTGGCCATAATAAACTCCCAAATTTAATGGGACAATACCTTACCATTGCCCACTTAACTTTTGGAATTATTCTTGAAACAAGGGACCAGGATGGCTTCTTGAAGCTTGTCGTAGAAGATAGATAGCTTCAGAACACTCTGAAAACTTCTTAGGTGGCCTGCCCATTATTTAGGTGGTTTTGGCATAAATGTTACTAATTCTTAAGAGAAAAAGCTGAAATACCAGCTCTTTACTGGAGCATAATTTGGGCAAGGAGAGGAAGGCGCTCGATGAGATGGATTGATTCAGTCACTAGGGTAAAAGGGATAGCCATGTCGGAGACAGTAAGATTGGTAAGGGATAGAGCAGGTTTTAGGGCTGTTGTACATAGGGTGGCTGTGAATCACAGGCAACTCGACAGCACATAACAACGATAATAATAGAGTGTAATTTGAGGGCTACAAAGTGATGTTGGGTTCTAAATTGAAGTTTATAATAGATTAGTAGTATATGGTTTTTATGTCTGTGATAATTGTGAAGAGTGCTGATAGAACTCATTAACTGCATTTGTATGTTGGGTAAATAACCTGCTTGCTTTCTTTGTTTAGGCTCTTGGATGCTTATTGTATAAACTGTGTTACTTCACTTTGCCCTTTGGTGAGAGTCAGGTGGCAATTTGTGATGGAAACTTCACAATTCCTGATAATTCCCGATATTCCCAGGATATGCACTGCCTAATAAGTAAGTATTTGAACATTCTAATTTCTTTTTATTAAAAAGACCTCTAGTGTCTGGTATCTTCAGCAGTATTTTGCTTGCATGTGATATTAATGATACTGTTCAGTAGTTTCCACATTTAGTTGGATCACCTTTCTTGAGAATGGAAACAAATATGGACCTCTTCCAGTCCATTGGCCAGACAGGTATCCTCCAAATTTCCTGACATAGACTGGTGAGCACATCCAAGGCGGCATCTGTTAATGGAAACAAGTAAATTGGTATCCCAGCAATTTCTGGGGCCTTATATTTTACCGATGCCTTCAGTGCAGCCTCCAATTTTCTCCTTCATTACCATTTTCTCCTGCTCCTATGGTACTTCCTGAAGTTGTTAGTGCCAGTCAGTTCTTTTTGGTACAGTGATTCTCTATATTCCCTCCATCTTCTTTTGATGCTTTCTGGGCCATTCACTATATTGCCCATAGTATCTTTCAGTATTGCTACTCGAGGTTTAAAGTTGTTTTTCCGTTCTCAGCTTGAGAAATGCAGAGTGATCCATAAATGAGGACTAAGATGCATCTGATTCAAGCCCTGGTTTTTCTGATCATTTATTATGCATCTGAGAGATGGACAGTGAATAGGGATGACAGAAGAATTGGTTTCTTTGAGTTGTGGTCTTGAAGAAGAACACTAAACATCACATGAACAGCCAAAAGAACAAATAAATATGTCTTAGAGTACAGCCACAGTGCTCTTTGGAGGCAAAGATGATGAGGCTTAGTCTCACATACTTTGAGCATGTTGCTAAACAGGGGCTATTCCTTGGAGAGGGACATGATGCTTGGAAAGGTAGAGGGTCAGTGAAGAAGAAGACACTTGACCAGGTGGATAAACATAGTGACTGCTACAATGGGCTCTAGCGTGTCAGGAAGTATGATGATGGCACAGGGTTTAGATCTGCTACTCGTAGGGTTGCTATTAGTCATACTTGACTCGATGGCACCTCCCAGCAACAATCTCTGGAATAAATTGGATAAACAAGGATGGAGCAAAGGGAGTATTATTAATTATTACTCCAGGAGTAATAAGTTATATGTCAAAATAGTTACTTGTGGTTGAGAATTTAAAGATAATGTTCTCTCAAAATTGGGAATGGTTATACCTGTGGCTAGTGAAAATTGTGGGTGGTCCTGCTAGAAATATAAACTGTTTCATCCTTGGTCAGAAATGCTAACTGTGCTTTGAGCAGTACGGCAGTACTGTGTTTTGAAGTCTATGAGCAAGCTCTGATACCAAAAGAGGTCTAACTGACTCAAACCAAATGATAAAAAAATCTTTTTTTCAAGAATGGACCCGTATTAAAATTAAAATGATTGCAGTGTGTAGGCCGGAATGAATACATAATTAAGCTTTATAGCTAAGAGACCAAATTTCTACTTGCTTATTCATTTGATTTTTATAACAAACACAAAATTATTTAAAATAATCCCACTCTTTTGTATCATTGGAGTAAATATATATACTAAAGTTTTCTAACCACATAACAGAATAATTTACAGACCTTTATACTAGTCCTAAAGAAAAAGATTTTTATCATCGTTCCATATCGGACAAGTTGATAGCCAAGTTTCAGCGTTCTTTGGCTATTAAGTAGGGACATACTAAATAATGATAAAAGCAGCAAATGTCAGAATCTTCAATTTGTTCGAGCCTTTATAAATTAAATACCATTTTCTTTTAACTAAATAACTGATTGGTTCATATGTTAAACTGTATCACCAGTGAATACTGTAATCCTTTGACAAAATCCTTTGACATCTGTATGCTATTAAATTGTCAATATTTAAAGTGATGATGAGATGGTAAAGGAATTGGTAAGCTAGATTACTGGTGAAAATTACAGGCTGTACACAATAAAAAAATTTAAAAACCCTGACTTGCTATGCAGACTTTCACTGAAACCACAGTAAGATAGTACTTTAATTAAAGAAAGGTTTAACAATTACAAAAATAAAGAAACTGAAGTTGAGCAGCTTAAGTAATTTTTCTTAGATTATAACTTTTAAATGTGCCTGTGATGTCAATCTACTGGTTTATCAAACTCGACTATTTATTAACACAAAAGGAGAAGGGTAAAGAAAAAGAAAAACAGTAAGAGGCATCACATTCCCTGATCTCAAATCCCACTAGATAGCTGTAGAAATCAATACACCATTGTATTGGCACAGCATCAGGCATGTAGATCAATGAAATAGATTGGAGAACCTGGAAGCCAGCTATAGTCTACCTATAGTCAACTGATCTTTGACCAGGAGATGAAATCTACTAAGTGGGGCAATGACAGCCTCTTTAACAAATGGTGATGGCAAAATTGGAAGCCATCTGCAGAAAATGTAAGCAAGACACACACCTCACAGCACATACAAAAGCCAACTCAAGGCATATCAGAAACCTAGGAATAAAACCAAAATCCAGCAGAGAAAAACTAGAAATAACTCTGGAAGCTGTAATCTACTTCTAAGCAGAATTAAAAACCTACAACCAAGAGAGGCAAAATTAAAAACCTACAACCAAGAGAGGCTAAAATAGTTGAATGGGACCTTCTAAAAACCAAATCCTTTTGCACATCAGAAAACTTTACCAATGTAAAAAAAAACCCACGAACTGGGGGCAGAGGGGTGGGGGTATACCTGGCAATGACATATCTGATGGAGACTCATATCTAAAATTTGTAGAATACTCCAGCATCTCGGCAAGAAAAAGACAAACAACACAGTCACAAAATAGGCACAAGATATGAATAGACGCTGTGCCAAAGAAGAAATTCAGATAGCCAGCAAACGTGAATTAATGTTCAGAATCTCTATCTATCAGAGAGGTGCAAATCAGAACAACAATGAGATACCATTTCACCTGACCAACAATAGCAAAGTTCAGTGGGGCAGCAAACAACAATTGCTGGCACGGATGTGGCGAGATTGGAACTCTCATTCACTGCTGGTGGGAATGTAAAATGGTACAACCACTATGGAAGGCGTTCTGGAGCTTTCTCAAAAAGGTGGAAATAGAAATACCATTTGACCCAGCCATCCCACTAGTTTTGCATATAGGTTGAAAAGATAGATATGACAAATCCTTGATGCACACGATTACCAATTTTGAACCATGCAGTATTGCCTTGCTCTGTTCTGACAGCTGCCTTCTTGTCCAAATACAGGTTTTACATAAGCACAATCAAATGTTCTGGGATTCCCATTCTTCTCAGAGTCAGCCACAGTTTATTGTGATCTACACAGTCAAATGCCTTTACGTAGTCAGTGAAACATAGACAGACATTCCTCTGGTACTCTTTGTTTTCAGCCAAGGTTCATCTGACATTAGCTAGAATATCCTTAGTACCATGGCTGCTTCTACCCCGTATGCACTTCAGGCTGTTCTCATTTGATGTGCTCTTCTAGTCGTTTTTGGGTATCTTCACCAGAATTTTGCTTGCATGTGATATCAGTGATATTGTTCAATAATTTCTGCACTTTGTTGAATCACCTTTCTTTGGAATGGAAACAACTCTTCCAGTCAGTTGGCCAGGAGATTGTCATCCAGATTTCTTGCCACAACTTGGTGAGATAATCGGGGATGCTGGGCTCTGAGGAGAAATGGGACATCAGGATTGGAGGTAGACTCATCAACAGTCTGCATTGTGCAGATGACACAACCCTGCTTGCTGCAATTGAGGAGGACCTGAAGCTGTTGCTGCAGAAGGTCAAGGATTGCAGCCTTCAATACAGATTGAAGCTCATCATCATGAAAATAAAGATTCTCACCATTGAGCTGATTGGTAGCATCATGATGGATGGTGAGAAGATTGAGATTGTCAGCAACTTCAGTTTGCTTGGTTCTACAATCAACACTCTTGGTACCAGCAGCCAGGAAATTAAAAGACGAATTGCACTGGAAAAGTTTGCTATCGGAGACCTCTCCAAAGGACTGAAGATCAGCGATGTCAGACTGGAGACTAAAGTGTACCTGATATAGGCCATGGTCTTTGCAGTTACTTGCTATACATCAAAAAGCTGGACAGTGACTAGGGATGATAGAAGGAGAGTTGATGCCTTTGAGCTTTGGTGCTGGAGAATAGTATTGAATATACCATGGACTGCTAGGAGGAAAAAAAGTTCATCCTGGAGAGTGTGAAGCTAGCCTGCTCCTTGGAGGCAAGAATTCTGAAGCTTCGTCTGACCTACTTTGGACATGTTGCAAGGGATCAGTCCTTGGAGAGGGACATCATGCTTGGGAGGGTGGAAGGACAGAACAAGAGAGGAAAACCCTCGATGAGACAGATTGACTCAATGACTGGGATAATGGGAGTAGCTATATCAGGGACAATAAGATTGGCACAAGATAGAGAAGGGTTTAGGGATGTTGTACATAGGGTCGCTATGAGTCACAGGCAACTCAATGGCACATAACAACAACAACCCACTAGTAGGAATATAACCTAAAGAAACTAACTGTAGACATGTTGCAATCAGATGTATGCACATATGTTTGTTGTTGGTATGTGCCATTGAGCGAGTACAAACCATAGTGACCCCGTGATTAATAGATCTGAACCCTGTCCTGTCCTGTGCCATCCTCACATTTTCTGACATATTAGAGCCCATTGTGGCAGTCACCATGTCAGTTCACCTGGTCAAGGGTCTTCTTCTCCTTCACTGACCCTCCACCCTTCCAAGCATCATGTCCCTCTCTAAAGAATAGCTCCTCCCGGCAGCATCCCCAAAGTATGTGAAGCAAAGCTTCATCATCTTTGCCTCCAAAGAGCACTCTGGCTGTACTGTCTCCAAGACATATTTGTTTACTTTTTTGGCAGTCCATAGGAGGTTCAGTGCTCTTTGCCAACACAAGGCATCACTTCTTCTGTCATCCATATTCATTGTCCAACTCTGAGATGCATAGCAAGTGATGAGAAAAACCATGGCTTGAATCAGATGCACTTTAGTCCTCAAACTGTTATCATTAATCCT